TTTTTGCTCAGATAGTTATGTTCTTAAATTTTTCAATTAATAGACAAAAAATAAACAAATAAATAAAAAAATACATGAATTTGTGTATCTTTTCACGCAGAATCGATAAATAGTATTGTCAAAAATTTTTTGAGGTACTATCACGCCTCAAAATGGTATAGTCCAAATGTTGCACCTACTTTTTAGGTTAGAAAGTTAAAAAAATCTTAGGTTTGTTAGACCGTGTCTTTGTTTTTGATTTAGAAAATAGGTTTCAATAGTTACTTTTTAATTATTATATTTTGTAATGGGCATAGCTTATGCCTTGGTACTAGATGTTTTGAAAGGTGAAAATAACTATGATTATCTCACGCATAAAAAGACTTTTTTTCAAAATTTGTACTTTACTAAGTATTGAAAAGCATACAGTTAAAGGGTTGATGTGATACTTAAAAATTTATAAACGACGCACCCAATATGGTGGAATATTTCCAAATAAAAGGAGTTTTGTCTTTAAAAAGTTTTTTTAGTGCAGCATCCGACTCTAAAAAAGAAGTGATGGTAAAATACAAAGAACTCTGAAACAACTACTGTTTTTTATTTTAAAGAAAATATACCAATTACTTAAAGATTAATATAAGATCTTAAAAGTTGAGCTAAACAAATTTGTTTTTCTCGGACCTAGGAATTCGCTAAGAGTAACGGTACTTACAGTATGTGCACCCGTTACTACCATTAAAATATAAAATTGATTGTAACTAGTGATTATCTAAGTGAAATAGAAGTAATTATGATTCTTATTAATTTACGTGACTGACATCAATGTCAGAAATGTAAAAGCTCACGGTGTTAAAACCTTACTGTTGCAATGGCCGTGGTTAAATTATTTACCATTATACATATGCACAACGGAAACTAAGAGGTATCCTAAGTATCTGAGAGTTATTATTGAGTACTTTTCTTGGATAAGATTTGTGAAACAACAAAATAACAAAACTCTTATGATCTGTTAAACATGTATTTTATTTAATTTTTTCAAAGTAATTTTTTTTTTAACTTTATAGAAAAATGTCCATATTCCAGTTATTGTATCCCGAACATTTCTTGAACAAAAAAATTAAAAAATACGATTCATAAAAAGTGATAATGTAATATTTGTCTTCGATATTTTTTATTGAACAAGCAACTTTTTTTCAAAATTAAATTCAAAATAACTAACAACAAACATAAAACGCTCATTAAATTTATGCAAATGATGTATGTGGATGACGGTTTCTAAAAACGCAACTAAAGACTATTTCACTCAAAAATATGATTTTTGTTCAGATACTAATACCTTGGAAAAATGTTTAAAAAAAATACTAGAAGAAAATAAGATTATAACATATCAGTCATGAGTATTTTAATCAAGAGCAGAAATTTCCTGTAAAGCAAGAAAAGCTAATTAAATGCTGTTATGATAAATTCAAAGATGTTGCACCTTATATCTTCATTGTTAAGCAGCTGTAGAATTTAAGTAAAGTTAAGACAAACTTTGTTGGTCTGAGAATGCATAGCTCTTGCTGGAATGGCTAGGCTACTAATTTGTAACCTTGTTAAGTATTTCTGAAAAATCAGTTAACTGTTACTTGCAGATTGGTCATTGTTTTAGGGTGTTTAAAAGTAAAGTGATAAGAGTACTTTGAATTTAGCAAATCACTGTAATGTTAAAATGTTGAAGACCATTGACATTCTAAATATTATTTTTCATACTCGGACACAAAAATTTACGAGTTGAACAGAAAAACTGTACAAAAAGTTCTAGCAACAGAATAAAACATTAGGAAAACAAGTATGTCTTGTAAATATTAAAAGTGGCTTTGTACAAGAAAAAACAATTTGTTATCGGAAAAATTTAAAGATCTTAAAACTCTTCAATAATTTTATGCAACATAAAGTATACTTCTTTATCCATGATATCTATTCCATATATTTAAAAACAATCAAACTTAACAGAAAAATGTACAGTAAATATGCATAAATCTATGAAACATTTTTTAGATTTTTTAAAAAGTTTTCTGAACGTTTTGTAGCACAATTTTTGTATACAATCTTCTGTAACCATGATAAACTCAGGCTTGTATAAAAGCATTGGACTATACCTTTATTCCCTTAATACAAAAAGTATTGACAGGTCTACAGCAATAAAGTCTTTGATTTTCATACTTGGATTTGTAAGGTTATATCTCCATGCAATGTACAAATTTTCAAAATTATTTAATTCTTTTTGTAAAAAATATACAATGTAATGAAAATATCCCAAGAACCCACTTTTTTAGAATTAGAGCTTTCAAAAAAAACTATTTTCTTTCATGAAGTTTGACGAATTTTAAAACATAGCCGATCATGTAAGATTTGGTATTTTAGGATAAGTAGGTTCTAGATTTAAACATCCTAATTCCTAAAGAAATACCAAGACAACTATATTCAATATTTTGTAACTAAATGCGTAATATTATAGTCAGACATGATCTTACGAATTTCAAGATTTCATGAAATATTTGCGCGAAATAAATGCGTTTAATTGAAAAGTTATGAAAAAATATATCTTTCTTAGAGTTTGATACTGCTGTGTGATGCGAATATTGAACATTCAAAATTTTTATATCATATGCGAAACCAGGCCACGGCGGTATTTTAGGCTATGCATGAAATAAATAAAGAATAAAATAAAAGGCACTTCCTGTTCTCTTAAAAGATCGTATCTTTGGCTAACTACAAAAAAGTAGTAGTTTGAAAAAGAAGAAATTATAATTGGACTTGCCACGTTGGCCTCTGCTTCATAGTGTAGTCAATCTATTTTCTTCATTTACATACTAAAGGTGGAAAAGGACGAGAAGTCGGCGCGGCCGTCTTTGCCCTTACCTTCTTTTGTTCTCCTCATTACTGAGTGAGCCATTAAGGGAGTTGGGTTGCAATTCACTCAACGATGAAAATATTTAAAAAAAAAAATTTGTTGTAAAGAAACATTGCGTGGATGTAGTCACCAAATTTGAGCACAATCGCGTCTACAGATTTCGAGAAAAAAATTCATGAAGTGCCCCTTTTTCGTCGTCTTTAACATGGGCTTAAATGTAAGTTATCAAAAAAGTTGTAAAAAAATACCTATTACTCTTGACTCAGCGATGAGAATGGTTTGAAAAAGTGATATGTTATTTATGACAACTTCATTCGTATACGTGCAAAGTTTCAATAAAATCGCGTCTGCAGTTATGGAGATATTTTCACAAACGTAAACAAATTTGTTTCCTGCTTGTATGCTTCATTCATGCGGCAGACAAGGACGCACTAAGTACACTGTTTCCTGTCAGCTCGACTTTTTATGTGGCGTAATAGCTTTTCACAAAATCACTTCTAGAAGCCGTTCTACTCAAAATTATGATCTCAAACTTGGTATAGGCCTTAATGAGACTTTATACTTTAATGATGTACCATTAAAACCTCTAATTTCGAAAATTTATAGCACACTTTTATTAAAAGAAGATCAGATTGACTATACCGTTTACTCCTTATTTTTTATCTCTCATAGAGAGAGTATTTAGGCTATTTAATTAATACCATAAGAAACGAGATACCTTGAAGAATACTCTGTAATTTTTTTGAAGTATTTTATTCAAACGTTAACGAGTACTGGCGAGTCGAACACAAATGCATTTTCCATAATCAAAAGGGCGGATGTTTTTAGGCTAGGTTAGTACAGCAGACTTTAGCACGGTGCCTTATGAACATACACGTGCTCCCCGCGGGAGCGACCCAACTCCCTTAATACAAGTTTTTTAGTCTGGGCAGCGCTGCCGATGCCATCACTTGTTGACGGGCAGTTGTTTGCGAGCTTTGTTCTCATTTTTTTTTATAAAAAGATGCGTGAACGTGCCGGCTTTTGTCGAGTTTTTTAATCGATATAAAAGGTTATATATTTGCGAAACTTGAAAAGCAGAATTGTGCCTCAAAGCTGAGTTTCCGGGCGGACCTGCCTTTGTAATTTTCTGAGAGAATTCTCGCCTCTGTATGTATACCGCATGGCCATTTATTTCATCTATCTTCTCCTGTTCTTACAGCATTGCGCTTAGCTTAGCATATTTAATATTATTGCTTCTTGCATCCTAATTGTATGTTTTCTATTGATGTTTGTATGTTTTGTGAAAATAAAGATTAATGTATATAAAAATAAAAAGCGAGTAAAATTCGTACTGAGTGTTGAGGAAGCAAGGACACACAAAAATTATAGCCTTCCTTTTCTCCGAATTACTGACAACTGCATCAAAAAAAAAATTTTCTAGACTAAATTCGTTAGACTTTAGAACAGTCTGCCATGTAAGATGAGCCATTTTAAATTTCCAAGTATCATAAGAACATTTTGATTGGGTGCTCTTAAATACTTACTGAAGTACGAGTTTTGAAGAAAAAAAATCTTTGCATGCATGAGAAAAAAGTAGTTAATAATACTTAATATCACATTCAACGACATCAAGCACCGAGGTATAAATTACACACGAAACACTAGTAGCTCAGATACAAAAAAAACTCTTGATCAACTTCGATAGTGTCGAGATGGGAGAAGGTGCTTCTTTAAACGCATTTCAAATTGAGTTAATATCATTAGGACATTAGTTTGTTATAGTTGCGACAATACGGTAAAAGCAGTTTCTTCGTGTTATCACAAGAGTTAGTTTTCTTTTGTTTTTATCTTTGATTTTTGTATTTTTATTAAACATAACAAAATAATTGTTTCTTGAAGCAAATCATTTATTCAAAGCTTATAGTTATTTTGACGTAGATTATATTCTGTTTCAATATTTGCAAAATGCAAATACATTTATTTCTTTAAATGCACATTTTAGGTAAACTTATGCTCTTCTTTTTAAAGTTTGTTAGGATTAACACTGAAAATAAAAGACTAGCAGTGATTAATTATTTATTAATTTAACTTGCCTATGCAAATACTCTTATTTACATACGTAATTTTCACGTTTGGTTTGTAGTGAGGTGTTCTGCCATGGAAAGCTACTTCATACAGTTCAGATGGCTTCAATTTATGTCGACTCAAAAACATTCGTAGATATGAAGATGCGTCAACCAACAGCTCAAACTCTAGCCTTATTTAAAGAGCTGATGGATCAAACAGGAGGTTTACCAACACGCAGCCAAATTGATCAATTTGTCAATAATGCGTTTGAGAAAGCTGGCTCAGAATTTACTGTCTTTGATCCGCAGGACTGGGTGGCGCAGCCAAACTTTTTGAAGAAGGTTCGTGATCCAGGCTTACGAAAATTCGGTCAGGATCTCAATCATATATGGAAGTTACTAGGACGCAAGATGAAAGACGAAGTGCGTCAGAATAGTGAGCTCTACTCCATAATTTCTATAGATAACCCAGTTATTGTACCAGGTGGTCGATTCCGAGAGTTTTACTATTGGGACTCATATTGGATCATCAAGGGACTGCTACATTCGCAGATGCACGTAACAGTCCGTGGAATGTTGGACAATTTCGTATCAATCGTTAAACGGTACGGCTTTATTCCGAATGGGGGTCGCATTTACTACACGATGCGCAGTCAGCCTCCAATGCTTATACTCATGGTGCACGAGTATCTCCGTCACACTAATGACTACAAGTGGTTAGAGCAAAATCTTTGGGCCCTTGAAAAAGAGTTTGATTTTTGGATGACTAAACGCACTGTTGAAGTAAAAAAAAAAGGCGTTATCTATACCCTTGCTCGGTATTACGATGAGTCTTCAGGTCCTCGGCCCGAATCTTACAAGTACGTTTTAAAGTTATTTTATTATTACATAGTTCAAATAAGAATTTATCAACTATTGGTTGGATTCATCTTCGTTGTTAAGTTTTTATTTTCTACTTTTATCAAATCCTGTCAATTATTTCAATTTTACAATAATATATTACAAAGAACCTCACAGAGATGAAAATAAAGTTCCAATAGCATGAAAGCAAAGAAATAAGCTGTACTTCGTTTATTAACACGGGACTTTTGCAATGTAATTTATTTCCATATACGTTAAAAATCTTTGCTATGTCCTTTTCTCAATCTACCACCAGATATATGAAATATATCAGCTGTGTTGTGGGTAAGAGCATCGCAGCTTATGCTTTTTTTACAACAGGTACATGGCTGTTACTCCGCCAATGGTGTCTGTACATAAGTTTGAGACTTTGAAGATACAAATAGACTGTAATGAGATTTATTCTTTGGCCTTAAATATTATGCTCTAAAGAATTTTTCCAGATTAAAGCGCATGTACATATTTACGTCCGTTTACATAGAGATACAATTTTGTGTACACGAGTCATGAAACTAACATTGTATACGATACCGAACTTCCCTTGGTAAAAAATATTGCAAATTTAGTTATCAGTCCATTTTAAATTTAATATTTGAAATAGTCAGAAAAGGACTTATTTAATAATGCTAACCTTGAAAAAAAAAAAAAAAAAAAAATAGGGTAGTGTTTTTAAATTATAAACATAATTAACTTTTTTAACGTTTCGAATAAATATCTATGATAGCTTGTTGAATATTTTTCAAACAGTAAGAGTAGTTTTTATCGTAGTATTTTCTTCAGTGTACCGAAAAAGTTACCACACTCCTTCAAGAAAAGACTTTAAAGATTGTTTTACTCTGTAAAAAATTTGACGATTCATTAATTTTTCTGGTAAGCTCAAATAAGTTCTCAGTATTACAAAAATTTAAAATTTTTTAGTCAAGAAATTTCAACTCTCAGAAACAGTTATTCTTTCGTTATGTTCGCATACAAAAGTCATGAGTAAATGTAGTAATGACTATTAACTACGTACATGCATTTTTAAGTGTATTTTTACTAAGCTATTATTGATATTGCTATAATATTACATATTTTCAATGTGTACTGATAGCAGAAATTTTGAATGCTAGGCACACTGGTAATCACATTCAATAATACATGATAAGTGTGCTAACTAAATTTAACACCAACTGAAAGTTAAAGTAATTGACAAGTTAAACCAATATATTGTATGTGGGTAATAAATCGCTCACTACTTGGCATCGTGAGATCTAAACGGTGTGAAGTTATACAAACTAACTTATACCACAATTATATTTTAATTTTTGTATTAAACTGTCCGATACAAGTAAAACGTTAGTAAGTATGTTATAAAAAAATTGAAACGCAAAAGTTATCTTTTTTTTAAAATATGATCATCTGCCCAACATGATCTGAGGAATCACCCATTAATACTCATTAATACTTATTTCTTATATACAAGTAAGACTTAGATTTCTATACTCATCAACAATATGACAGTGTTAATTAAATATTAAGACCTGTTTGTGCAGAAAAAATATCCATGATTTAAAAAAAAAAAAAAAAAAAAAAGGAAACATTCATTATCTAAGTGATCTTTATTTGCAGACTATTACTTAAAAAATAGTATACATCAAGGAAGGATGAAAGAATTATTATTAAATAAATACTTTTCTTTAATTCGAGAGCTCTAGGATCGTGCTAGAGCGAGTTCTAAATTTTTTTTTTTTACCAAAAAAAAAATGTTTCCCTTCGTTTAATTGTTTGATACTGTCCTAAAAATTTTACTAGTACTTGCTCATTTAATTATTGAGTATAACTGTTGTTACGTAGTATTCTATGGTCTTGGGATTCGCACGAAGTGAATAATCGAGGAACTAGTATCAGCTTCTTTATTTATTCAAAACAAGAGAAGAGCGCGTTGCGTGTGTAAAATCTTCGTCCTTGCCGGTTCCAACTAGAGAGCAAACTCCTTTCAGTATCTTATCTGCTTATCCCTTTGCTCTCTCCCACTACAATCGTCTTCAGTAGGCCCAAGGGAGAGGGGGCACACGTACGTGTAGCTATGATACCGTACATCACTCGTCCGAGGTCGTGCCGCTATCATTCTCGATGGCGTTATGCTCATTTTACTATTAAGTGTGTTTGTGTTAGAGTATTGTGATGATGTTATGTTGTTTGTGTTGTCTATGAAATTCCTGACATAGGAGTGAATAGGTGGAGAGAAAAAAAATCCTGTCCTTGTTCCTCCTGTACATAAATTCGCTAAATTGTTTTTTTTTTGTGTAAACACTTATTGTTATTGTCCGCGCTCTTCTCCCTTTATGATATAGTGCACTGTTGCAAAATTCTTATTTATTAATTAGTATTCGATATTAAGTATTATTCGATATGAAAAACATGGCCGTAATCAATTATTATTTCCGTTCCTTTAATCTCGTTCACTATATTGATATATGTAACAAAATCTTCTAAATTTAACAGTTAAGGGTGTAACGTTGTACCCGGACAGTTAAGCACACGCAGACCACTAACCCGAGTACAATGCTACGGGTACAAGTATGCGGCTTCGGCCTCTTTGATGCGACCGTCGTACCCCGATACTGCAACCCTAAGTGCCCTGCACAGCAGTTATTAGAAAAACTTATTCGCTAATCAAGTAGCTAACACTTGGTGAGCCACTAAATTCCCGCTAACGAGCCACTAACAATGCCCCCCAGGGAGCCACTACTAATCTTCCCCGAAGCCACTACTCGCGATCCGGAGTCACTACCAGCTATGCTCGAGGAGGGCATGAAGTGCATCTCGTGACCCGAGTTTCCTCTAACCACGCGTCGCGTACAGCCACTAACACCTGGCCCCAGGAAGCCACGACCTTGGAGTGAGGGACACGGAAACGCGTCGTATTCACTCCCACGTGTACCCTGCACCCCACCACCGCTATCTCACATCAACAGATAGAACGTACTCACGGGCTTACTATTGACCTTCAATGTCAAGGGACTCCTGGTTCTGGATGTCGGCTCCGGCTTCTGTCCTCTCGCCAACTCACGCAGCCACCCGATCGCACCCAGCCAGCCAAGACCCTCAAGTTTCCTCTCCGGTCACAAGACTTTTTGAGGAAAACTCAGACAATATCGCGGGCCACACAGTAAGCTTTCGATGCTGCTCCGAATCTCTGGAGTTGTTTAGCCACAATTAGACAACGAAACGGGAGGTAGCGAAAAATCGAGCTGCTGGTTTCTAGCTACTTTTCCTTGCTCGATACCTCGGAAAAATACCTACCAACAATTCTTGATCGATCGCCTACCGTTGATCAACGATTGCTGATTGGCTGTTTATACAATAGCGCTGTCCTTTAATCTTTATTGGCATAAGGTTTTGACCGGCAAGTTGTACCGGCGCCTTCACCGGTTTAGTCCTCACATTTCAGACCGTTTCACTCCCTCACGAGTGGAGGTTCTGTCACGAGCAATATGCCCGCCACCGATCAACAAGCCACACCACCCATGCCTGAGTCACGTCAGCACCGTTCACCGAGCGAGCGCGAACGACTCATGGCCTGAGAGACATTGCCCGATCTTGCCGAGCACACACACATACACGCACACATAACGCCTAGAGATTACCACAGCCATGCCTCTACGTGTGCGTGCTCGACGCTGCGACTTCGTCGCAAGGGTTATCACTTAGTCTTAGTGATTATTGCAACTACTTAATTCTACTTTAAGTTATTGTTATCTAATTTTGTAAAACAAGGTATTACAGTATGTTATAATGTATTGTATAATATTACTTATTCTTCTATTGTTGGTCCGATCATTATTTTAATGCTTCTTATTAATGTTATATTGTTTGTACAATTGGCTGCGTAAAGAGCCTATTATATGTTGTGATACATATTGTGTTTTTTTTTATTTGTAAATGTGGTAACTAAATTATAATAAGTAAACTTAATTTAGTCTTGTATATATATATAT